TATATATATATATATATATAAATTAATTGTAATTGGTATTAAAACTCTTTATAACTGTACCATTTTAGATCATATAAATAGTTAGCAAATTAAAAAACTTGAGGAAAAATGTTATTTCCAAACTTTGCAAAGATTGATGTATTAAAACCCAAAAAAAAAGAGAGAAAAAAAAAGGGGGGAAAGGTTTGATATTTTATGCTTGACAACCAATCTCTAATTTTTAATATTTGAAAAATAGAGGAAATGCCACTTAAAATTCCTCATTCATTTACGAAATTTAAAGCTTTATTTCATCTAGACTAAGTCTAGTTCAATGGGTAAGATTTGAACAAATCAAAGATCCAAGTTTGAATTAAAAGGATTTGAATTATATCTCATCCGGTCTCCGTCAAAAATTGACTTGTGAACACAATTGATCATGAAACTACTGTTTACACAAAATTATCTAATAATAATAATGATAATGGTCACAAAAAATTTGACTACAAGTTCACTGATCAAAGTGTTGTGCTAATGGTCAATGGTTTTTTTCCCCTTCAAAGAAAAAAAATGCAAAACATGTGTGCTCTTCTTTTATATTATCACAAGTCATTAGAAGTGATTAGAATTATTAGAATAATTTTCTAAACATCCTAAGATCGTTTTAAATTTCATCGAGTCTATGATTTATCAAAAACCAACTCTTTTGAGTCTAATTTAATTTAGTGTTTTTATCTATCATTTTTTAGTTATCGAATCAGTCTGGTTTTTTAGTTTCTTAAGTGAATCGTCCGATCCGATTCGATCGATAGCAAAGAACTGTTCGATGGGAGCTGACTTCCTCGTAAGTGCTTTAGGATGGTTGTGGGGATTAGTCGTAGATAATTCCAAGTCAACAGTCGGCGGCGTGCCCACCGTGGAACGTTGTTGGCAGGTCAACCCACCAGTTGGTGAGACTTGACTGATGGTTGTGTAGTACGTACCTCAATGGGTCAAATGACAACAGCACACGGCTACTGCTACACTGGGAATTCAGATTCCATTTTGATACCGAAGAGCTCATGGACCAAACTTCTTAAAGAGAGTTTGACCTTCGATCATGGTAAGGAGTCAAATGCCAAAAGCTCTCAATAAACACCGGACATTAGTTGAATAAAGGATAGACTAATATATGGAAAACACTAAATCTTTTATTGAAATTATTTAATAATATAGAATAATGAGTAAAGATGGCCGTCTGACACATCATCTGTCATGACCCGGGTCTGGGCAAATTAGCCTATCAACTTCGTTTGGTCTAAATCACTGACCAAAATGCTTAAGCTAAAATTGATAGTGGTACACTCATCAGAATCTTATAAGTCAATCTTAATCCTGCCCACTTTCGATGTGTGACTAATCAGAGGTGTTACATCATCTCTCTCACACATCAACTTCACTGGACGTTGAAGCTAACGTTACCCTAACGAGAAGGTCGATTTAGTCCCGTGTAATCGACCATGTAGTATTACCTAGTGTTTTTCGGATTCTATGTTGCATGACGAGACTTTTTAATATTATTATGTTCTTAGATTCGACATTTAATTTAAGCACTATGTTTTTCTTCTTTTTTTTACAAAGGATAAATTCGGATCTTGCGATGAATTATCGATATCTTTATTCGCTAAGTTAATTGATACTTTCAAAATATATCGAATGAGATTTCAAACTCTCAATTTTTGGTAAGTAGATATAGTATATTTTCACCAAACCAATGTTTAAGATGTACTTAATAATTAGAACTATATTGGTAATAAGGTCCACTTACATAAAATAAAATAAAATAATGAATTCAAACATTATATCTGAAAAAGTAATTAAAGAATATCTAAATTCAGTTTAAGCATATTAGATTAATTTAGATACCCTAAGAATCCAAAAATCTCATTTGTTGGTATATGTATGAGAGATGTGGAAAAGGTTTTGGGATGAAGATGAATTATTTAGTGTTACTGTCTAATGCACTGCTAATTGGTGTGTTAAGAACTTTTGTTTTCCATATTTGCTAGATACATTGCATAACATATATACATATCCTGCAAACTGATGATTGATTGGAAAATGTCTCGAAATGATGAAAAGAACAATAATGTTCCACAATATGCACGTATTCGAATTCATATTGAATTAGAAGATGAACCTGGCAATACCATAGCTCCAGATAAATTAAGGCATGTTTAATCTCTGTGTGTGTGTCTCTCTCTCTCTCTCTGTCTCTCTCTCCGCGAGTGTTTCGCGTGTGTGCGAGAAGAGTGAGGAGTACGTAAACCTACGTGACGAAGCAAACGTGACGACTGAGCCCTAAACGTGGCGTTGACCGCCGCCCGACGCCCCATGCATGCGGGCCAACCGGACGCTTCACCAGGGAACGTCCAATACATTCTGTGGGCTGCAATCCGCTGTCTTTCTTATCCTCACATCAATTCCAGAAATATAACACTATTTCTGATCCATACAAAAATCTGATTATATTAGCTTATTTTATTGTCATCTGCGTGTCAATAAATTATGACATATATAAAGTCATCAATATATGTCTTAGTAATTGATGGAATAGAATATCACAAGTGTCACAAATGTCTCGAATGTCAACTTGTGATTTTCTTAGAAACTCACGATCAAACTATCCTACAGATTTATCATAATTGTATGTTCACTTCTCAAATTATATATTAAAAATATTAATGTATTTCTAAACTCAGTGTCAATTGATAGGGCACATTTCGATATCGCCCACATGGACTTAGACAAGCAGACATGACGATATAGACGTGGTACTTTAAGTCTGATATGACGCGTAATACACACGTAGCAGGCAGCTACTCGTCGCCCCCTCCATGCGAATGACATCATTACAGTACAGTCGTCCCATAAAGCTTGGGGCGGCGCCACACGACGTCAATCCTTGCAGGTCAGTTAATGCTCTCACAAAAGCTTAAGCCGACCGCCCGAGGATCCAGCCACAATTAATTGACCCTGAAATATCGATTCATCATTGCAAGTATACAAGCTAACCCTCCTTAATCAGAAGGGAGAGAACTTTCGTACATTCAACTTACTCTTATTCCACTCAACGCTAACTTAAGCTTCGGAAGGGTCGAGTCAGGAAACACCCCTCCCAACCTCGATCTGTGTGCAGGGGCTGGCAACGTAGAAGTAGGCAACAAGACTCATAGCTCAACCCGACCCGACGTGCACCTTCGTTACTCAAAGTCTCCACGTGAGTAATCTTACACATTCAAAATCGGATTGAACCGTGCTGACTCCTCGACTACGGTGTAGAGGTTCACTAACATCAGTCATGCCACTAGAGTCTACCAAGTCAGGAGGTAAGCAATCATGCCACTAAGCTCGATTTTACCCGATCAAAGTGGTTCAAACCCGCTTGCTTGATTGGAAGAGTGCAATTTGAGTAATTAAAGAAGCGATGCTTAGTTAGATGTACTTACGAGGATCTCAGGGCACAAGATTTTGGTTGTCCAATACCCTAATTAACTCAAATTTTAATCGGTAATTAACATTATCCGTATACATTGGAATTGTACACCGCATACATTGGAATTGTTCTCGGAAGGAAACTCTAAAGCAATTACATCAAAGAAGCGTCCACCACAGATTGCTGCATGCATGCATGCACGCACGCATGCAGCAACACCACAGTGTGGCTTAGAAACGAGAAGGAAGGACTATGATTTGATAGAGAAGAAGAGTTGCGGTGGGTGACAGTAAGGGGAGACGGCGTTCATTCTGGACTTGCGCTTCTGAAGGAATCGCTGCAGCGATCGCTTCCTTGAGAGCTCCGGATCGATGTGGAGATGCTGCAGAAAACGAGGTGGAGGCAGAGGTGGTGGTGATGATGATGAAGTTGTGGATGACTCCTTTGGCTGCTGTTCTTGCCTCTTCTTCCTCGTTTGATCATCCGTCTCTTGCCTGGCCATGGCGATGATGGCTTCTGCCTGCAGTTTGTAAACATATATAAGGAGCAATTCGCAGAGGAATATATCAAAAGAAGACGATGGTTGTAATGGGATGACAGAGGAAGAACCAGTCAAATATGCACAGAACAAAAGGGAAGAAGACAAACCTCAATCTCAGTTACGTCGCACACGCAGATTCTTCCATTGTAACAGATGGTAAGCTGCTGCTGCTGCTGCTGGTACTCTGATCTTGAGCTGCCTGATGCTTCCTCCACCCTACGTAGTGCATCCGGAGATGAATGAATGAATACCCATGCTCGATAACAAAGCCAGAAATGCAAGCAGCAAGGACACAGTAAAATCAAATACCTGCTAGGGCTGAACTCGGTGCTGCAGTGGCCGCCATCGCCACCTCCATTAATGCCAAGGCGAAGACAAAGGTCGGGATCGCAACGACTCCCCACCATTTCTTCTCGAGAAGAAGGCTGGAAGATCACAGGAAGTGTATGGTGTTTGAAGCTGGTGGAGCAAGGAAGGAAACTTGGAATGGGGCCTTATATTCCAACGGAGAGGAGAGGCGAGGAGATGTATGAAGACGGGGGTCGGCTGTGGGTTGGCGGAAGGCCGACTGCGTCTCACCACGTGAAACATCTGCTCGTCGTGTGGGTACGGTTGCTTCGTCGGCAGGGTACGCGTTGCTATTGGCGGAGAGGGGTGGGCCAGCCGACATGGGTGGCCATTATTAGCTGGAACATTCAAAAGTTGCCGGTGGTTGAATGGGTCAACGACACTAAAATCATGCTTCCATGCAATTTTTTTTTCTTATTTATCCCTCTATTTTTAATTATGATATATATATATATATATATATATATAA